ATAAGTTGTTAATAATAGTTTGGTTTTTTAAAAAATTACAATATTTTTTATTATAAAACAAATAATTTAATAATTATATATTTTTTTTACATGCAAATATTTTGTATAAAATTTTTTGCATATTTAAGTAAATTATACAATTTAAAAAAAAAAGCATTTGATTTTGTTTTACTTTATGCAAAAACTATTTAAAAACTTTTCAACACATGTTTTTTTTCATACCATTTTTGGTCGTCAGAAATTATTTCAAATCTGACTTGCAAAGTAACTTTGTACTATGGCATAATAATGTACAATAATAACAAAAAAAAAAAAAAAAAATACATTCATTCCGTTGTCTTTGGGTCAAAAGTCACATTATTTCATATTCCATTTTGTTATTATGTTTTACTTTCACAAACATATATAAACCTTTTTTGTGAGTTTCTTTTTGATTGTATATTCGTAGATGAAATAAAATAATTTATAAATACTTTCTTTATACGTATTATTAGTATATAGAAATGTACATATATATATACATATGTATCTACTATTATCTCCCTTATATAATTTGGTTATCAGCTGTGTTGACCATTTTATATTTATACACAATTTTTTAATTCGTTTTGATGTTTTTGTATTATTAATTTTTAAAGACATATTAAAGCGTTGCATGCAAGTTGTCTATAGGAAAGTTTGCTATTCGTTTAAGTGTGTGTGTGTGTGTTTTCACCCAGTAAACCCAATGGTTTGTAATAAATTGAGTGTCAATTGATCGTATGAATAAAAATAAATTTTATCAAACTTTCTTCTTCTAAAGACGCTAAGTAATCCACGGGAAATCACTTAAAGTATTTTACTTAACACGAATTTATTCCGGATTCAATTGTCTATTAACGAATTAAAATATGATTGATGTCTGTATAGAGTCAATTCACTTCTGCCTAGGCCTAAACCCTTATTGGGACATTCACAACAATCTACAGGGTCGCTGTTTGTATTTGTATTTGCCGGCTTTTTGATAACTTTTAGTTCACAGCACATACATATTTAGTATTATTTTTATTATTATCATTGTTGTTATTACTAATTATTACCTTTTTGGGAAGCTTTAAAATGTTAATATCAATACTCAGTAATAAATGTGACCTTAAATTAAATTTGTCCTATAACTAAGTATTTAAAATTTCGTAATTATAATTGTTTCAATTTTTTTAACTTTTCTTATATACTCCTGAGTATTAGGTTATTAGATTTAACCTACTAACCTCTAATTAGCTTTTATTTATTAGAGTTAATTTAAATTTTAACAAAGTTTCAAAATAATAAAACTTTGACTTACTTTGATGTAAGTATCTTTAGAAAGTTTTATCAACCATTATAGTGGGATTGGAAAATTCGTCTACTTTATGTTACTCTTTAACGAAATTTTTTTTATAAACTGAAAATGTATTCAAAAACTTTTTATCAACAGGAAATTTACAATAAAGAGAGCATTGAACTGAACAGCACTAGAACAGAACTAGAACAGAACAAAAACAGAACTAGAACAAAACTAGAACAGAACTAGAACAGAACTAGAACAGAACTAGAACAGAACTAGAACAGAACTAGAACAGAACTAAAACAGAACTAGAACAGAACTAAAACAGAATAGAACAGAACAGAACTAGATTAGAACTAGAACAGAACTAGAACAGAACAGAACTAGATTAGAACTAGAACAGAACTAGAACAGAACTAGAACAGAACTAGAACAGAACTAGAACAGAACTATAACAGAACTAGAACAGAACTAGAACAGAACTAGAACAGAACTAGAACAGAACTAGAACAGAACTAGAACAGAACTAGAACAGAACTAGAACTAGAACAGAACTAGAACAGAACTAGAACAGAACTAGAACAGAACTAGAACAGAACTAGAACTAGAACAGAACTAGAACAGAACTAGAACAGAACTAGAACAGAACTAGAACAGAACTAGAACAGAACTAGAACAGAACTAGAACAGAACTAGAACAGAACTAGAACAGAACTAGAACAGAACTAGAACAGAACTAGAACAGAACTAGAACAGAACTAGAACAGAACTAGAACAGAACTAGAACAGAACTAGAACAGAACTAGAACAGAACTAGAACAGAACTAGAACAGAACTAGAACAGAACTAGAACAGAACTAGAACAGAACTAGAACAGAACTAGAACAGAACTAGAACAGAACTAGAACAGAACTAGAACAGAACTAGAACAGAACTAGAACAGAACTAGAACAGAACTAGAACAGAACTAGAACAGAACTAGAACAGAACTAGAACAGAACTAGAACAGAACTAGAACAGAACTAGAACAGAACTAGAACAGAACTAGAACAGAACTAGAACAGAACTAGAACAGAACTAGAACAGAACTAGAACAGAACTAGAACAGAACTAGAACAGAACTAGAACAGAACTAGAACAGAACTAGAACAGAACTAGAACAGAACTAGAACAGAACAGAACTAGAACAGAACTAGAACAGAACTAGAACAGAACTAGAACAGAACTAGAACAGAACTAGAACAGAACTAGAACAGAACTAGAACAGAACTAGAACAGAACTAGAACAGAACTAGAACAGAACTAGAACAGAACTAGAACAGAACTAGAACAGAACTAGAACAGAACTAGAACAGAACTAGAACAGAACTAGAACAGAACTAGAACAGAACTAGAACAGAACTAGAACAGAACTAGAACAGAACTAGAACAGAACTAGAACAGAACTAGAACAGAACTAGAACAGAACTAGAACAGAACTAGAACAGAACTAGAACAGAACTAGAACAGAACTAGAACAGAACTAGAACAGAACTAGAACAGAACTAGAACAGAACTAGAACAGAACTAGAACAGAACTAGAACAGAACTAGAACAGAACTAGAACAGAACTAGAACAGAACTAGAACAGAACTAGAACAGAACTAGAACAGAACTAGAACAGAACTAGAACAGAACTAGAACAGAACTAAACAGAACTAGAACAGAACTAGAACAGAACTAGAACAGAACTAGAAAAAAGAACAGAATAAACAGAACTAGAACAGAACTAGAACAGAACTAGAACAGAACTAGAACAGAACTAGAACAGAACTAGAACAGAACTAGAACAGAACTAGAACAGAACTAGAACAGAACTAGAACAGAACTAGAACAGAACTAGAACAGAACTAGAACAGAACTAGAACAGAACTAGAACAGAACTAGAACAGAACTAGAACAGAACTAGAACAGAACTAGAACAGAACTAGAACAGAACTAGAACAGAACTAGAACAGAACTAGAACGAACTAGAACAGAACTAGAACAGAACTAGAACAGAACTAGAACAGAACTAGAACAGAACTAGAACAGAACTAGAACAGAACTAGAACAGAACTAGAACAGAACTAGAACAGAACTAGAACAGAACTAGAACAGAACTAGAACAGAACTAGAACAGAACTAGAACAGAACTAGAACAGAACTAGAACAGAACTAGAACAGAACTAGAACAGAACTAGAACAGAATTAGAACAGAACAGAACTAGAACAGAACTAGAACAGAACTAGAACAGAACTAGAACAGAACTAGAACAGAACTAGAACAGAACTAGAACAGAACTAGAACAGAACTAGAACAGAACTAGAACAGAACTAGAACAGAACTAGAACAGAACTAGAACAGAACTAGAACAGAACTAGAACAGAACTAGAACTGAATTCGAACTGAACTAGTACAAAAAATTATTGTAGTTTATTAGAAGATTATTAAAAAAAATATTTTGTAAAAAAAGCATTGTAAATAATTGTTTACTGGAAATACAAATCTTTGTTTACTAAACTTGAGTACTTAAAATCAAAGTCCAGAGTAATAACAAAACTATAGACATCTATATACTCTTTATTTTTGACCTTGATTCAAAAATATTCCAACAAGTAGACGACAGTATGAATACAAAATACTAGTAAGACAATATGTACAAAACAAATTCTAGACTATTTAAAATTCTTATGTATAATTTCGACAATACTTTGTTATTGTTGAGGATTACTTTAAATGAATTTATAAATAAATCACGATACGACAATCTTTAGGTATTTATACATAAAAAGCGCTTATTTGCAGAAAAAGTGTTCTAAGTCTCTTTTTTGATTTATGTTCTCATTTTTAATTTCTTTATATTTTATTTTATTTACTTTTAGCACCCTGGTGGTGAGGAGGTCTTAATGGAACAAGCCGGCAAAGACGCTACAGAAAATTTCGAAGATGTTGGTCACAGTTCCGATGCCCGTGAAATGATGAAACAATATAAAATTGGTGAATTGGTGCCTGAAGAACGTACAAATATCCCCGAAAAGTCTGAACCCACCTGGAATAGTGATCAAAAAACCGAAGAAACCTCCATGAAATCCTGGTTGATGCCCTTCATTTTGGGTTTAATTGCCACTTTGATCTACAAATATTTCTTTGGCAGCAAATCGCAATAATTTTAAACAAACACAAAAAAGCAAACACTAAATTCCAAAAAAACCAAAATGCACATTATTTGTATCTTAACACAAAAAGAAGGCCTTCTTTGATATACAAAAAGTTTTATTATTTTCTTTTCTATAATCTTTTAGTTGCCAATTCACTCCTCTCTTATTATATTTTCTATATTTTCATTTCTCTTTCTTTTTTATTGTTTTAATAACTATTTTGCGAAAATTGCATTTAAGATTTTATAAAGTTTTCTTCTTTTTTTTAATATTTCTTTTAAACCAAAAGAGTGCTCAGTTTTCAAAGTGTTTAATTTTATAAAGTTTTAAACTTTTGGTGCTTTTAGTTTTTTACAAACTTTAATTTCATTTAATTATACTTAAAACATATAAAATTTTCTGTTTATGGATTTTAAATTCCATAATTTAAATAAGTTTTTTAATACACAAGGAACAAATAAACAAAAAATTTACATTTCGTTGTAAGGAAGTGGGAAAGTTTATTTTTTTTTATATATATAAAATCTTTGTTCAGTTGTCTTTTTGATAATGCAAATTAAAAAGCTAGAATAATATAAATAATAAATAAATTATAAAAAAAAACAACTAAATATTGTGTAAACTTTTCTTTAATTAATTAAAAAACAAAACTCATTTTATGATTTTTTTGATTACAGTCAAAATGGCCAAAAAAAAGGGTGAAATCAGGATAAGTAATAGACAGACAATAGCAATACCCAATCAAGCCAAGCTCTTTAATATTTCCTTATTTTAAGACAAGTATGTTATTTTATTCGAAAAAAAACTTTCACAACAACTAATTTCTTATTTCACTTATTTACAGCTCTAGATTTTCGGAAGACAATGAGACATTTTGCCCATAAATTACTAACTCTATCATAAATTAATTAACATTAACTTTCATCTTTAATTCTAAACAAAATCATAAACTAATATCAAGATTATTTCATCACCATTTTAACTATAATAACACTAGCAGTTGTTGGTAAGCTCATTTTCATTTTAAGTTTTCTTTATTTTTGCAAAAACAATATCACAAATAACTTAAGTTAATCCATTTATTAATCAGAAAATTTAATTAGTTAATATTAGCACAAAGTGCAAAGAATTTTTTGAAGAAACTTTAGCATAGAGATAAGATTATAAATTCAAGGTGTGTAGAGTAATAATAAAACTTATCGCATGTTGCCTAATGTTATGGTTGATGAAACATTGTCTAACTTAGTAATAGCTTCTAATAAAAAGAAGTTCTTTACATACATAAAAATGAAAATACTACTTTTTCAGTTATTTCAGTTCCACTTCAATTCTAGTTCAGTCCTAGGTTAGTTTTAGTTCAATTTTAGTTAACTTCTAGTTCAGTTAAGTTTTAGTTTAGTTAACTTCTTGTTCAGTTAGACAGACAGACGGACGGACATAGCATAATCATTCTTTTTGCCCTAAAAACTCTAGTTTAGACAGAAAATACACCTTTGCGTTTTCTAAGCAAAATAAAAGTAATCACAGATTTTAATTCTTTTTGCCCTATAGGCCTTAATTTAGCCAGAAATGGTAAAACGAAAGTTATCACAGATTTTCTTTGTTTTTGCCCTAGAGCCTCTAGTTTAGCCAGAAAATGGACTTTAATGTTTTCACTCAAAACTCTATTTTTGTTTCGAAATAAAAATGATCACAGATTTTCTTTGTTTTTGCCCTAGAGCCTTTAGTTTAGCCAGAAAATGCACTTTTATGTTTTAACTCAAAATCGATTTTGGTGCGATATAAAAGTGATCAAAGATTTTCTTTGTTTTGCCCTGGAGCCTTTAGTTTAGCCAGAAAATGGACTTTTATGTTTTTACAAAAATTGATTTTTGGTCATCATTGTTTTTGTCCTAGGTCCTTTAGTTTAGCCAGAAAATGCACTTTGTTGTTTTCATTCAGAAATCCATTTTTGGTGCAAAATAAGAGTGATCACAGATTTTCATTGTTTTTGTCCTTGAGCCTTTAGTTTAGCCAGAAAATGCACTTTGTTGTTTTCATTCAGAAATCGATTTTTGGTGCGATATAAAAATGATCACAGATTTTCATTGTTTTTGACCTAGAGCCTTTAGTTTAGCCAGGAAATGGACTTTTATGTTTTCGCTCAAAATCGATTTTTGGTGCGATATAAAAGTGATCACAGATTTTCATTCTTTTCGCCCTAGAGCCTCCCGTTTAGCCAGAAAATGCCCTTTTGTAATTTCACTAAAAATAGATATTTGTTGCAAAATAAAAATGATCACAGATTTTCATTGTTTTTGTCCTAGGTCCTTTAGTTTAGCCAGAAAATGCACTTTTGTGTTTTCATTCAGAAATCAATTTTTGGTGCAAAATAAGAGTGATCACAGATATTCATTGTTTTTGTCCTTGAGCCTTTAGTTTAGCCAGAAAATGGACTTTTATGTTTCCACTCAAAAATCAATTTTTGGTGCAAAATAAAAGTGATTACAGATTTTCTTTGTTTTTGCCCTAAAACCTTTAGTTTAGCCAGAAAATGGATTTTTATGTTTTCACTCAAAAATCGATTTTTGGTACAAAATAAAAATGATCACAGATTTTCATTGCTTTTGCTTTAGAGCCTCTCGTTTAGCCAGAAAATTGACTTTTATATTTGCACTAAAAAATCGATTTTTTGTGAAAAATAAAAGTGATCACAGATTTTCATTGTTTTCGCCCTAGGGCCTCTCGTTTAGCTAGAAAATGAAATTTTAATTTTTCACTCAAAAAATCGATTTTTGGTACAAAATAAAAGTGATCACGGATTTTCTTTGTTTTTGCCCTAGGGCCTCTCGTTTAGCCAGAAAATTGACTTTTATATTTGCACTAAAAAATCGATTTTTTGTGCAAAATAAAAGTGATAACGGATTTTCATTGTTTTTGCCCTAGAGCCTTTAGTTTTTCATTGTCTCTCATTTAGCCAGAAAATGGATTTTTATGATTTCACTTAAAAATCGATTATTAGTGCAAAATAATAGTGATCGCAAAATATTATGTTGCAAAATAAAAATGATAACAGATTTTCATTGTTTTTGTCCTTGGGCCTTTTTTAGCCAGAAAATGGACTTTTATGTTTTCACTCAAAAATCAGTTTTTGGTGCGATATCAATGTAATCACAGATTTTCATTCTTTGCCCTAAAGCAAATGGATTTTTATGTTTTCACTCAAAAATCGATTTTTGGTACAAAATAAAAATGATCACAGATTTTCATTGCTTTGGGGCCTCTCGTTTAGCCAGAAAATTGACTCTTATATTTGCACTCAAAAATCGATTTTTTGTGAAAAATAAAAGTGATCACAGATTTTTTTGTTTTCGCCCTAGGGCCTCTCGTTTAGTTAGAAAATGAAATTTTAATTTTCACTCAAAAAATCGATTTTTGGTGCAAAATAAAAGTGATCACGGATTTTCTTTGTTTTTGCCCTAGGGCCTCTCGTTTAGCCAGAAAATGGACTTTTATGTTTCCACTCAAAAATCGATTTTTGGTGCAAAATAAAAGTGATCACGGATTTTCATTGTTTTTGCCCTAGAGCCTTTAGTTTTTCATTGTCTCTCATTTAGCCAGAAAATAGATTTTTATGATTTCACTTAAAAATCGATTATTAGTGCAAAATAATAGTGATCGCAAAATAATATGTTGCAAAATAAAAATGATCACAGATTTTCATTGTTTTCACTCAAAAATCGATTTTTGGTACAAAATAAAAGTGATCACAGATATTCATTGCTTTTGCTTTGAGGCCTCTCGTTTATCCAGAAAATGGATTTTTATGTTTTCACTCAAAAATCGATTTTTGTTTCGAAATAAAAGTGATCACAGATTTTTATTCTTTTTGCCCCAGAGCCTCACGTTTTGCCAGAAAATGTACTTTTATGTTTTCACTCAAAAAAAGTGATCACAGATTTTCATTGTTTTTGCCCTAGAGCCTCTCGTTTAGCCAGAAAATGGACTTTTATGTTTTTACAAAAATCGATTTTTGGTGCAAAATAAAATTTATCACAGATTTCGTGGATTTTTATGATTTCACTTAAAAATCGATTATTGGTGCAAATAATAGTGATCGCAAAATAATATGTTTTCAGTCAAAAAAAGATATTTGTTGCAAAATAAAAATGATCACAGATTTGCATTGTTTTTGTCCTTGGGCCTTTAGTTTAGCCAGAAAATCGATTTTTGGTACAAAATAAAAGTGATCACGGATTTTCTTTGTTTTTGCCCTAGGGCCTCTCGTTTAGCCAGAAAATTGACTTTCATATTTTCACTCAAAAATCGATTTTTTGTGAAAAATAAAAGTGATCACAGATATTCATTGTTTTTGCCCTAGGGCCTCTAGTTAAGCCAGAAAATGGTCTTTTATGTTTTCAGTGAAAAATCGATTTTTAGTACAAAATAAAAGTGATCACAGATTTTCTCAAAATCAATTTTGGTGCAAAATAAAAGTGATCCACAGATTTTCTTTCATTTTGCCCTAGAGCCTTTAGTTTTAGCCAGAAAATGGAATTTTATGTATTGACTCAAAAATCGATTTTTAGTACAAAATAAAAGTTATCATAGATTTTTTTATTGTTTTTGACCTAGAGCCTTTAGTGAAAACTGAAATATTGTTTACACTGAATTATTGTTACACTCAAAAATCGATTTTTGTGCAATATAAAACTGATTACAGATTTTCATTGTTTTCGCCCTAGGGCAAAAAACGATTTTTGTGAAAAATAAAAGTGATCACAGATTTTCATTATTTTTGCCCTTAGAGCCATTAGTTTAGAGCCAAAAATTGACTTTGATGTTTTCACTCAAAAATCGATTTCTGGTGAAAAATAAAGTGATCACAGATTTTTCTTTGTTTGATCGCCCTAGTGCCTCTCGTTTAGCTAGAAAATGGAATTTTAATTTTTCACTCAAAAAATCGATTTTTGGTGCAAAATAAAGTGATCGCGGATTTTCTTTGTTTTGCCCTAGGGCCTCTGGTTTAGCCTAGAAATGATTTTTATGCTTCCACTCAAAAATCGATTTTTGGTGCAAAATAAAGTGATCACAGATATTCTTTGTTTTCGCCCTAGGGCCCTCTGTTTTAAGCCAGAAAATAGAATTTTATTTTTTCATTAAAAAAATGGATTTTTGGTGCAAATAAAGTGATCACAGATTTTCATTCTTTTTGCCCTATAGCCTCTCGTTTAGCCAGAAAATGACTTTTATATTTCACTCAAAAGTCGATTTTTGGTGCGATTAAAAGTGATCACAGATTTTAATTCTTTTCGTCGATTTTTGTGTTTCACTCAAAATCAATTTTTGTTGCAAAAAAGTGATCACAGATTTCATTGCATTTGCCATAGAGCCTCTCGTTTAGCCAGAAAATTAACGTCTATGTTTTCACTTAAAAAATCGATTTTTTTGTGAAAATAAAAGTGATCACAGATTTTCTTTGTTTTCGCTCTAGGGCCTATCGTTTAGCTAGAAATGGAATTTTTAATTTTTCACCTCAAAAAATCGATTTTGGTGCAAAATAAAGTGATCACAGATTTTCTTTCATTTTGCCCTAGAGCCTTTAGTTTAGCCAGAAAATGGAATTTTATGTCTTCACTCAAAAATCGATTTGTAGTACAAAATAAAAGTTATCACAGATTTTCATTCTTTTTGCCCTTGAAAAAATTAATTTACACTTTTATTTATGTGTAAATATTAAAAAATAATTTATTAACTAATTAATTACAATACTTTTAAGGTTTTTAATAAATTAAATTTAAATTATTTATTATTAAAGAGAACTTAACGTATTGAAGTTGATTGAAAATTTGAATTATTTACAAAAGAATTTTGATGCAAATGATGTAATTGTGACGGCTGATGTTGTTGATGGTGATGCGAATGATGATGGAAATCATGTTGCAATTGAAATGTTGAGGAGGAATGTGTTGTTGGATCAGATTGTAAATGTGTCAATTGTGGTGGTGGTGATGATGATGTTGATGATGACTGTGCATTTGTTGCTGCTGCTGTTGATGATGCTGCTCTGATGGCTGATGTTGAAGATGCGTATTTTCAAAAGTCAAACAAGTACTTGATGTGGAATCTAATTCGGGTGATGGGGTCTCTGAATACCAATGATTTGGTTGATGATTATGATTCGTGTTGTGTTGTATGTAAGATGAAGTTTGTTCTTGTTGATGATGATTATGTTCATAATTGTCCTCATAACGTAAAGGTTTTAATTGTTCTTCATTATTATTATCACCATTGGGACTCCCAATTATTGTTAGAGGTATTATGATTAATCAGGGACGTGGCAGGTGATGAACGTATCAGTGAAGAATTCGATAAATGGATGATGAAAACCAAAAGGCCAATTCTGTAAATAAAAATATGAAAATAAAATTGTGATTATTGGTTGTGCTTAATAATTGGGTAAAAAAATAAATTTGTTTATAAATAGTTATAGATATAATAGAAGCCACTTAAGTGTCTTTATGTGTTTAGTTTTTTTCATTGTGTGTATTTTATAAATAACCCAAACATTTCTTATATAAAACATAAATTACTAAATGATGCTTGTAATAAATTTTGTAACCAATTGTTGTGGAAACCATAAGTAACAAAAGGAATTCATCACAACATCGCAATCAATTCACACAATTTAGCGTGAAAACACCAAAAAAAAAGTGTTTGTATTGTCTTTCTTTTTCCTTCTTTTGTTATACTTGCCACATGCTAATTATTATTTGCCTATAAACAACGTCATCAACATCAGCAACATCATTATTATTATTATTATTAGAATATTGTGGGTAATGATATGTGGTGTGGTTATTTTCGCTGCCTAAACAAACTCTGACTGCTTATAGGGTCCATATGGTTTTGAAATTTTGATGTCTTTATAGTGTTTATGTTGTGAGGGAATAGAATAATATGAGGGGGTTTTCCTATTTGTTTAAAAGAATAAGATACAATTCAGTGGTTTTTGTTATTTTTTTCGTGGAAAGATTGTTTTATATTAGAAGCTTATTTGGTGATCATTCATATTTTTTAAATAGATCAGTTCTAGTTTAACTCAGTTCTACTTCAGTTCTGTTTTTCGTTATGTTCCAGTTCAGTTCTATTTCAGTTTTAGTTCTAGTTCAGTTCTAGTTCAGTTCTAGTTCAGTTCTAGTTCAGTTCAGTTTCTAGTTCAGTTCTAGTTCAGTTCTAGTTCAGTTCTAGTTCAATTCTAGTTCAGTTCTAGTTCTGTTTCTAGTTCAGTTCTAGTTCAGTTCTAGTTCAGTTTCTAGTTCAGTTCTAGGTTCAGTTCAGTTCTAGTTCAGTTCTAGTTCAGTTCTAGTTCAGTTCTAGTTCAGTTCTAGTTCAGTTCTAGTTCAGTTCTAGTTCAGTTCTAGTTCAGTTCTAGTTCAGTTCTAGTTCAGTTCTAGTTCAGTTCTAGTTCTAGTTCAGTTCTAGTTCAGTTCTAGTTCAGTTCTAGTTCAGTTCTAGTTCTAGTTCAGTTCTAGTTCAGTTCTAGTTCAGTTCTAGTTCAGTTCTAGTTCAGTTCTAGTTCAGTTCTAGTTCAGTTCTAGTTCAGTTCTAGTTCAGTTCTAGCTCAGTTCTAGTTCAGTTCTAGTTCAGTTCTAGTTCAGTTCTAGTTCAGTTCTAGTTCAGTTCTAGTTCAGTTCTAGTTCAGTTCTAGTTCAGTTCTAGTTCAGTTCTAGTTCAGTTCTAGTTCAGTTCTAGTTCAGTTCTAGTTCAGTTCTAGTTCAGTTCTAGTTCAGTTCTAGTTCAGTTCTAGTTCAGTTCTAGTTCAGTTCTAGTTCAGTTCTAGTTCAATTCTAGTTCTGTTCTAGTTCAGTTTCTAGTTCAGTTCTAGTTCAGTTTCTAGTTCAGTTCTAGTTCAGTTCTAGTTTCAGTTCTAGTTCAGTTCTAGTTCAGTTCTAGTTCAGTTCTAGTTCAGTTCTAGTTCAGTTCTAGTTCAGTTCTAGTTCAGTTCTAGTTTCATTCTAGTTCAGTTCTAGTTCAGTTCTATTTCAGTTCTAGTTCAGTTCTAGTTCAGTTCTAGTTCAGTTCTAGTTCAGTTCTAGTTCAGTTCTAGTTCAGTTCTAGTTCAGTTCTAGTTCAGTTCTAGTTCAGTTCTAGCTCAGTTCTAGTTCAGTTCTAGTTCAGTTCTAGTTCAGTTCTAGTTCAGGTTCAGTTCTAGTTCAGTTCTAGTTTCAGTTCTAGTTCTTCTAGTTCAGTTCTAGTTCAGTTCTAGTTCAGGTTCTAGTTTCAGTTCTAGTTCAGTTCAGTTCATTCTAGTTCGATTTAGGTTCAGTTTTAGGTCAGTTCTAGTTCAGTTTTAGTTCAGTTCTAGTTCAGTTCCAGTTCAGTTCTAGTTCAGTTCTAGTTCAGTTCTAGTTCAGTTCTAGTTCAGTTCTAGTTCAGTTTTAGTTCAGTTCTAGTTCAGTTCTAGTTCAGTTCTAGTTCAGTTCCAGTACAGTTCTAGTTCAGTTCGAATTCTAGTTCAGTTCTATATCAGTTTTATTTCTGTTCTAGTTCAGTTCTAAATCATTTCTAGTTTAGTTCTAGTTTATTTCTAGTTCATATAGAGTTAGGTTCTAGTTCAATTTTAGCTCTGATCAAGTTCACTTCTAGTTCAGTTGTAATTCGATAATAGTTCAGTTCTAGTTCAAATATACTTCAGTTCTATTTCGGTTCAGTTTTAGACCATTTTTCGATATATGCCTTAGTTTAGCACCAAAATGTATAAATTGCACAACAATTTTTAAAATTACTGCCTGATTCAAAAATTTTCTTCAGTTGTGTTCGTTTAAATTCCAATTAATGATTCAATACTATTTGTAATTAATATTTTTTTTTTAAATATTCTTATACTTAAATAATTATTTATTTTATGACGGTTAAAGACAACATTTAAATAGAAATTGTCCCAAAAACAAATCAAATACAAATAAAATGGAAAAGGAAACATAGACATATAGAAAACGGGCGACAAAATAATGCTAAAATGACAAGTACTTCAACTAGTCAAGACTGTCAAAGACTTCTCACAAAAGAAATTGAAAAAAAAAACTGAATTGAAATCTAGAAATAATATCTTTATTTAAAAATAACTAAAACACCTAAGAATAATAACAAAAAAAAAAAATAAGAACACTTCTATGCAAACGATGTGATAAACTGTCATAAATTTAAATAAATACTCGGCAGCTCTTCATACAAAATGAAGGGAAAAAGCAAAAAAATTTTACACTAAAGTATCGCATTACAGGAAAATTTATGTTTGAAATACATATTTATATTTAAAAATTCTATAGACTTTTGGGGGCAAAACATACGTTTACAGGGGAAGAAGTACTTAAAAAAGGTAATGTTTAATATTTTCATATAAATTATTGTCCATAATCTCAGAGAGATTAAGAAACCACAAATCAGTGTTAAATCTGTTGTCTTTTCTATATTAAGTAGTGCTGTATGTAATATAAAATTTAATGACACCATTTAAAATAAAAATTTGTCTGTCAAGTAAATTGACAAAATATAAAAATTTTGTTGACAAAATGCAGCTTGTTGCAAGGTGGCTGTTTGGTATTTATAAAGTGGTGGCACTGACATCACTTAAGTGTACCACATTACACACCATATTCTCAGATCTATTTAAAATTATTCATTTTAAATTTGCTCTTTAAAAGAATTTTAATGCGTTCATGAACTTTCTTGGCCTAAGAAATATTTTAAGATTTATTTTGCTTTCTTTTTTTTTTGACTTACCATACTTTGTACTCCTGTATTTAAATTTAAATAATTATGTGTTGCATTATTGCCAATATTGTTTAAAGTGCCTTCCATTATATCGCCATTTGTTGCGGTGGCAGCACCAGCTCCTCCTATTCCTCCTTCGACTACGGTTTTCAGCTGTTTTATATACATAGTGGCCAAACGTAAAGTATCCAATTTGGATAGTTTAGTATCGGCTGGAATGTTGGGTAATTTTGTTTTAAGTCTTCCAAATGCACTCGATAGAACACGCATACGTGCCCGTTCTCGGGCATTGGCGGCGTTACGTTGTATGGGCGGATTACCATTGCGAGAACCTAAAATTAATGTAAAGTTTGTTAGAAAAATATTATGATAATTAGTTGGGGGACATATAGATTGGTCGTAGACTTACGAAATTATATATATTTTGATTCCTTATTATATATTTAAAATCTAGCCATGTCCGTCTATCTGCCAGTCCGTCTGAAAACACGATAGATGGAACTCAATTTATCCACAAATATTCTCAATTGATTCAGTTAATTTTGTTGTGAAAATGGGCAATCAGTTTACATCTGACCCTAGCACCCATATAAAGTACCATAAGGTACCCTTTAGAAAATTACTAATAAGTAGGTTGAGTAAGGTACTTTCAACCTTTTGAAACATTAGTCTATGCCATTTTATCACGAAGAAATTCACGTGCGATTACGGCATGTTTTAGTTGATGAAAACAGACGATAAGATTAACGGACGGCCGTACAATTTAATCCCTTTAGACTAAATCACAAATCTATGCCAACAACATTAGAAGAACTACATTCAAATATCGAACTCGAAATTCTTGTTATATAAGCCGACGCTTCACGACATTCATAGAAACACAGAGGGGTGGCCCGATTCGAAAGAAAACGTGATCGAATTTATATATTAAATACATTACGAACAAGTAGGGAAGTATAATCAGGCATGGCCGACCATATAATACCCTACTTATATAAAACTTATTTGTGCCCAAACGGAAGGTACGGTTGTATGAGGGCTAGCCCATTTTCAATAGGCTTCGTCCTTGTGCCAAAAAACAAGCTTGGTCCAAATTTCATCAAATTATCTTGAAAATTGCGGCCGGTAGCTTGTGCACAAGGTTTACATGGACTGCCAGCCAGCCAGCCAGACAAACGGACGGACATGTCTTAATCGACTCAAAAAGTGATTCTGAATCGATCGGTATACTTTAAGGTGGATGTAGAACCAATATTTTGTGTGTTACTAACATCAGCACAAACGTATAATACCCTCCCCACTATAGTGGTGTAGGATATAAAAACTACCCAGTAAAATATCGTACTTGCTGATCACCCGCCACCTGCAGTAGAAAAAGAGCACATACCGCCACTTCAAACAAGAGTAGTTCTGGCGCAATTGAAATCTAGATGGAGCAATATTCATAATTCCTATTGGTCTCATAGATAGATCGCACAACATAGGCTCAGCGTAAGGTAAGGTCCACGTTATACTCTTCTCTTTTTTGACAGTTTAGGCAATTCCACCTCACTCAGTCTTGAAAGTCTGTAGACTCATTTAGCTGAAGTGGCACAATATATTGGTCTTGATGGTCATGGAAATTATAAACTGAGAGGAGAGTGAAACGTTCTCCGAAATTAGATCCAAATATCATGGGAGCTATTCCGTGATATTACATCCTATCCATCAGTAACTATGATTAGAAAATTTTAAGGAAATACGTCCAGGAAATTATCCTTCAGGAACTTTGATTAGAAAATTCTAAGGGAATACGTCCAGGAAACTGAGTTTCGGCACATCGAACGATATTAACTACATAGAGAACCCTACAAAGATTTGCCCACCTACCTTTTCCATACAACATACCCAATAGTGTACTAGGTGTATTTCTTCGGTTCTGATTAAGTACACAGAGGGAAAAAGAAATATACACGCTTGGTACCAAATTGGCACCAAAGAGTTTGTAATTTTTCAATAACAACCGTTGTCAAAGTATATACATACGTACGACAACACTATGTCGCAACGTTGTCAACATTGCAACAATTCGTTGTCGAAATCTAAATTTTTTACACATACGTTGTCTAAATGTTAACAAACGTGGTAAGTTCACTATTGCAAACAATCCGTTGCCAATAGTGAGCTTACCACGTTTGTTAACATTTAGACAACGTATGTGTAAAAAATTTAGATTTCGACAACGAATTGTTGCAATGTTGACAACGTTGCGACATAGTGTTGTCGTACGTATGTATATACTTTGACAACGGTTGTTATTGAAAAATTACAAACTCTTTGGTGCCAATTTGGTACCAAGCGTGTATATTTCTTTTTCCCTCTGTGTACTGGTACTTAATGTGTCAGTATCGAAAGTTCCAATAAAACCGCTTAAAAGCCAAATGATACAAAGTAAGAAAGTCAGCCCATCCTCCAGCAATTGTTACAAAAGCGGAGGAAGGCACTGTCGTTATTGTTTATGCTGTGCTGCATTTGAATTTTTGCTGCAATGTATATATAGTTTTGGCTGAAAGCTGTTAAGTCTCCGAAGTTAAACGATTCGTAACATGGTGCGCTTAGCTTAAACTATGTTTTAAAACTTTGAAAACTTGTTTCTTAATGATTTCAGAGTCCTTTTACACCACCAAAACATGTAACAGGACGAAAATATATCAGAGCTAAGAACTGTATATATTGCGAATGAAAACATTTTAACAGTTCCAAATAATTTTTATCTTTTTGCACAGTTTTCTAGGTTTCTTGTTAAGAACCTATTTGAACGATTTTCAATGTCAAAAACTCGTAAGTAGAACCTAACGAATCTCTTCACACAGACTAAAGATCATAACTATCATATCGTCCATGTCTAAACTTGTGTGATTCTAAGACCAATGTTTTGTGGTTATAAAAATCGAATCCGTTAATATTAAATTTACTTACTTTGAGAACTGTTATCATCAAAATCATCATCCATAAGTTCAAAGGGACTCGCAGAACGCTTCTTGCGTGGCATAATGATAAAAAATTTCTTTAATACACAATTTGCAGAAAATTTTCTTTAAATTTCTTTATTTTCTAAAAATTTTTATAAAAACACAATTTGTATTTTAACTTTTTTTAAGAAATATGTAACGCACAGCACCGATTTAACAAATTTTGATCACTATTAGTGATTAATATGTTTTTTGAATAATTAAATAGAACGCTTTTTTTAATTACTTTCCTTACGTAAACTCGACAACCGTGAGGGATAATGAATTGCATGAAACTGAAATGATCTCTATGAGATCATGACTATTTAGACTCTTTTTTTGTTTGTTTTTTTTTCGGGGTACTCCTCAATAGAACACTTAGCATAATATTACATACTTGAATAACATATGTTCAATAGAAAATAATAATTTACACTTTCTCTCTTTCACTAGGACTATTTTTAGTCTATGTGGGTGGAGACTTCAGTGATCGTGTCAGAAACAAAAAACTAGAGTAACACACAAATTATGTAAACATTTACTCTCAATAGAATAGCAGCGTAAGTATCGTTCCTTCTTTCTATTGGCCGTTTGCAAACGATCAGGAAAATAAACAATGGCCGCCAAAAGACGAGTAAAAATTTAAATCACAGGCCTCACAAGCCTGTGGCAAATTGTAGGCTCTTTTTGAGGCAACATAGAGAGCATGAGTGTGGATAGTGTTTATATTAATGAATGTCTAAATATTTGTATTGTTTACAAGATCTATGAATGAAGAGATCACTACTTAATGCTGGTTGTTGTACATATTTTCTTTTGTTTTTCTTAAAGAAAATTAAAATATTGATCCATTTGGTGGCAAATACTCTTTCCTTTTTTCTTTTTTTTTGATGTTGATCATTATGGTAATAATGATCATTGTTGGATCGTATTTGTTTATTGTAATAACAAACTGTTTGATTGTGAACATATTGTTTTGACATACAATGTAAATATTTAGATGATTTATAAGTAGAAAAAAAAGGGAAATTAAGTGGGAAATTATTAATGAATTTGGAGGGAAATAGAAACTAATATGTAATAGGAAATAAGAATTATTTTTATAAATATTTTTAAATCTCAAAGGGTCATTAGTATAAACATTTTCGTATAATTATAAAAAATCCAATTTGATCACATTGTATCTGTAATCAAACTAAATCTGAATTCTTTCTATAAAAAAAAACTAGTTTTAACCAAATAGTTTTGACCTGTTAATTACCAATAATCATATTGTCTCAGTGATTACATTGTTTTGGAAACATTTGTAGTCCCCTATAAATGCTGTATCATTGTAAAGCTTTCCCATTATATAGGCAAGCCCCTCTTATCACTTAAAAGCTTTTATGATTTCCCAAAAGTAAAACATATTTGTTTTTATACACATATTACGAATATAATTATTATTTCGCCTTAATTGTATTAGTAGCTCCTTATCACTTTCCAGTGACCCCCCCAACTAACCTTTGCTTTGTATACATTAACTAGTATTTCAAAGCAAATCATTATTTCGGATGTTTTCAATATTCTAAAAGATCAGTTTAAAACATAGCTTCAAGCGAAGCGCATCTTGTGAAAAATAATAAAAAAAAAATGTGGAGAATAAGTAAATATGTTGTGGGTCATTTAACGCCAAAGGCTCAACAGCAAACAGCCAAAACTGTACCTGTATTACAGCAAAAGTTAAAATTCAGCACAGAACAAAGAACAGCAAAGACTGAAGTGACAGTTCCTTCCTCAGCGGATGTTGTTATAATTGGTGGAGGCTCGGCTGGCTGTCATACATTATATCATTTAGCCAAACGTGGCGTTAAAGCAGTTTTGTTGGAACGTGCCAAACTAACAGCCGGTACCACCTGGCATACCGCCGGTTTGGTATGGCGTCTACGACCAAATGATGTAGATATACAATTATTGGCGAATTCACGTAATATGCTAATGCAATTGGAAGAGGAAACTGGTTTGGATCCTGGCTGGATACAAAATGGTGGAGTATTTATAGCTCACTCAGATGTAGGTCAAGATATAGTGTGAGAATTAAACATTTTTTTTAATTTCTAAAAACAACTGATAAGGGGGAATATGAAAGTAATAAAAACATCTTTAAGCAGTTGACGTCAGAGAAAATATGGTACCAAGAGGTTTCTCATCATCAGACGATCAAACCACATTTTAATTTATTGTTATTTACTAGCCAAATGCGCGTTATTGATCCTAAATTTTGCCATAGCCATAGATGGACAGATAGATGGATAGATAGATAGATAGATAGATAGATAGATAGATAGATAGATAGATAGATAGATAGATAGATAGATAGATAGATAGATAGTGTAGTTAGTTAGTTAGTTAGTTAGTTCGTTCGTTAGTTTAGTCAGTTAGTTAGTTAGTTAGTTAGTTAGTTAGTAGTTAGTTAGTTAGTTAGTTAGTTAGTTAGTTAGTAGTTAGTTAGTTAGTTAGTTAGTTAGTTAGTTAGTTAGTTAGTTAGTTAGTTAGTTAGTTAGTTAGTTAGTTAGTTAGTTAGTTAGTTAGTTAGTTAGTTAGTTAGTTAGTAGTTAGTTAGTTAGTTAGTTAGTTGTTAGTTAGTTAGTTAGTTCGTTAGTTAGTTAGTTCGTTTTTCGTTTGTAGTTTTCGTTAGTTCGTTCGTTCGTTCGTTCGTTCGTTCTTTTAGTTAGTTTCGTTCGTTCGTTCGTTCGTTCGTTTCTTAGTTCGTTCGTTCGTTCGTTCGTTCGTTCGTTCGTTCGTTCGTTCGTTCGTTCGTTCGTTCGTTCTTTTCGTTCGTTCGTTCGTCGTTCGTTCGTTCGTTTTCGTTCGTTCGTTCGTTCGTTCGTTCGTTCGTTCGTTCGTTCGTTCGTTCGTTTCGTTCGTTCGTTCGTTCGTTTGTTTTTCGTTCGTTCGTTCGTTCGTTCGTTCGTTTCGTTCTTCGTTCTTCGTTTCGTTCGTTCGTTCGTTTTCTTCGTTCGTTCGTTCGTTCGTTGTTCGTTCGTTCGTTCGTTCGTTCGTTCGTTAGTCTTCGTTCGTTAGTTGTTAGTTAGTTAGTTCGTTAGTTTTAGTTAGTTAGTTAGTTGTTCGTTAGATAGATAGACAGATATATTGATTGATTGGTAGTTCAGTTCTAATTCAGTTCTAGTTCAGTTCTATTTCAGTTCAAGTTTGGTTCTTGTTCACTTCTAGTTCAGTTCTAGTTTTGTTCTAGTTCAGCTTTAGTTCAGTTCTACTTCAGTTCTATTTCAAATCAGCTGCATTGATATAATTATGAAATTTTGTTTTTATTTCTTGTAAATCTAGACCCGTTTAGATGAATACCGCCGTTTGGCCACAGTGGGCAATGCTTTAGGCATTGAAAACTATGTTCTCACTCCCGAGGAAACCCAGAAAGTATTCCCTCTATTGGATCCCAAATCTTTTATTGGTGCTTTATATTCACCCGGTGATGGTGTTGTAGATCCAGCCATGTTGTGTACCGCTTTAACGAGAGCAGCTAGTAAAAATGGCGGTAAAGTGATAGAGAATTGTTCAGTAGATGATTTAGTGGTGGAAAATACGGGACGAGGTAAAAAGATAGTGGGTGTTTCAACCCCTTATGGCACCATTAAAACAAATACTGTAGTCAATGCCACCGGTGTTTGGGGTAGAGATTTGATAGAAAAACATGGCTCATTTTTGCCTTTAATACCCATGAAACATGCTTATATTTTATCGGAATCGATACCTGGTGTTAGGGGTTTGCCGAATATACGTGATCATGATTATTCCATATACTTTAGAATACAAGGTGATGCTATACAAATGGGTGGTTATGAACCTAATCCAATTTTATTGGATCCTGTAGCTAAAGATTTTCATTTCGGATTGTATGATTTGGATTGGTCGGTATTCGATGCTCATTTAAATGGTGCCGTTAAATTGTGTCCTTCTTATGGTGATTATGGTGTAAAGAGTACTGTTTGTGGTCCTGAGTCTTTTACACCAGATCATAAACCTTTAATGGGACCTGATACAGTTATTAGCGGTTTGTATCATAATTGTGGTTTTAATTCGGCTGGCATGATGTTTGGTGGCGGCTGTGGTGAACAAACTGCTTTGTGGGTCATCAATGGGAAACCAGATTTGCCCATGTTTGGATTTGATCTCAGACGTTTTACCGACAAACAGAGTCAGGCTACCCAATGGATTAATGAAAAGTCTCATGAAAGTTATGCCAAAAATTACAGTATGGTCTTTAAATACGATCAACCTATGGCTGGACGTGATTTCCAAAAAGATCCCCTACATGAAGATATGCTGTCCTATAATGCCTTTATGGAAGAGAAACAGGGATGGGAACGTCCCGGATTCTTTTTACAAAAACCTGCACCCGCATTACCCTACGATTGGTATGGCAGTTATGGCAATGAACGCCATAAGGATTGTGCTTATGAGAGTGTATTAGATGGAGATTTAAAATATGGCAGTTTTTCGGAACATCACAATTTGGTAGGCATAACGATAGCTAGCTGGCAGCAGTAGCAATTATTGTTTAAATATTTGTCAAACTAATTGTTTACTTTCTCTTGCATGTCTTACGTGGTGCGTGCCACATTTTATGATTTTATTGCCCGTATTGTGTTATTCTTACGCAAAATTGTGTGATATTTGCTTAACCACGGATTGCGGATGTTGTTTTCTTTTCTTCATTGCTTCGAACAAATGTACGACTGACATAACACAACTGTTTGCTACTGATGTTTGCTCTTCGTTGCTGTATGCTGTTGTTGTTAAATTTATTCCCTTGCCATCATCATACGTATTGTTTGTAGATTGGTGAAGAGGCCATGGCATGCCGTAACAATGCTGTGGTATTTAATATGAGCTATTTTTGTAAACTCTATTTGGAAGGACCCGATGCCCAAAAGGCCGCCGATTGGATATTTTCGGCGAATACTAATCGCGATGTTAAAAAGTAAGTTTTCTTTAATTAGTTTTTTTTTATAAATCTAAGTACAATTGTACTTAAAAAGTAAAGCTTGACTTCATTGTTTAGAGCAACAATGTCAAGGTGTTAAGATCATTCAACTGTAGATATTTTCTTTGTATTTTAAGTTCATCATCATTATCATATTTTATAATTTAAGTTGCCATCTAATTATTTTGGGGGATTTTTCTGCGTGTTTGTTTTCAGTTTTTGGAATTTTAATTTTTTGTAATTAAGTTTATTTGAATTAATTTGTAAATATTTTTTTCGCTATTACACTGTGAGGAAACAACTGTATTTGAGTTGAATGTCTAAATCGATTCTAGTTATATCTCAGTTCAATTCCATTTCAGTTCTAGATAAGTTCTAATTCAGCTAATGTTCAGTTCTAGTTCAGTTCTAGTTCAGTACAGTTCAGTTTTAGTTCAGTTCTAGATCAGTTCTAGTTCGGTACTAGTTCAGTTCTAGTTCAGTTCTAGTTCAATTCTAGTTCAGTTCTAGTTCAGTTCTAGTTCAGTTCTAGTTCAGTTCTAGTTCAATTCTAGTTCAGTTCTAGTTCAGTTCTAGTTCAGTTCTAGTTCAGTTCTAGTTCAGTTCTAGTTCAGTTCTAGTTCAGTTCTAGTTCAGTTCTAGTTCAGTTCTAGTTCAGTTCTAGTTCAGTTCTAGTTCAGTTCTAGTTCAGTTCTAGTTCAGTTCTAGTTCAGTTCTAGTTCAGTTCTAGTTCAGTTCTAGTTCAGTTCTAGTTCAGTTCTAGTTCAGGTTCTAGTTCAGTTCTAGATTCAGTTCTAGATCAGTTCTAGTTCGGTTCTAGTCAGTTCTAGTTCAGTTCTAGTTCAGTTCTAGTTCAGTTCTAGTTCAGTTCTAGTTCAGTTCTAGTTCAGTTCTAGTTCAGTTCTAGTTCAGTTCTAGTTCAGTTCTAGTTCAGTTCTAGTTCAGTTCTAGTCGTTCTAGTTCAGTTCTAGTTCAGTTCTAGTTCAGTTCTAGTTCAGTTCTAGTTCAGTTCTAGTTCAGTTCTAGTTCAGTTCTAGTTCAGTTCTAGTTCAGTTCTAGTTCAGTTCTAGTTCAGTTCTAGTTCAGTTCTAGTTCAGTTCTAGTTCAGTTCTAGTTCAGTTCTAGTTCAGTTCTAGTTCAGTACAGTTCAGTTTTAGTTCTAGTTCAGTTCTAGATCAGTTCTAGTTCGGTTCTAGTTCAGTTCTAGTTCAGTTCTAGTTCAGTTCTAGTACAGTTCTAGTTCAGTTCTAGTTCAGTTCTAGTTCAGTTCTACTTCAGTTCTAGTTCAGTTCTACTTCAGTTCTAGTTCAGTTCTAGTTCAGTTCTAGTTCAGTTCTAGTTCAGTTCTAGTTCAGTTCTAGTTCAGTTCTAGTTCAGTTCTAGTTCAGTTCTAGTTCAGTTCTAGTTCAGTTCTAGTTCAGTTCTAGTTCAGTTCTAGTTCAGTTCTAGTTCAGTTCTAGTTCAGTTCTAGTTCAGTTCTAGTTCAGTTCTAGTTCAGTTCTAGTTCAGTTCTAGTTCAGTTCTAGTTCAGTTCTAGTTCAGTTCTAGTTCAGTTCTAGTTCAGTTCTAGTTCAGTTCTAGTTCAGTTCTAGTTCAGTTCTAGTTCAGTTCTAGTTCAGTTCTAGATCAGTTCTAGTTCGGTTCTAGTTCAGTTCTAGTTCAGTTCTAGTTCAGTTCTAGTTCAGTTCTAGTACAGTTCTAGTTCAGTTCTAGTTCAGTTCTAGTTCAGTTCTAGTTCAGTTCTAGTCAGTTCTAGTTCAGTTCTAGTTCAGTTCTAGTTCAGTTCTAGTTCAGTTCTAGTTCAGTTCTAGTTCAGTTCTAGTTCAGTTCTAGTTCAGTTCTAGTTCAGTTCTAGTTCAGTTCTAGTTCTAGTTCAGTTCTAGTTCAGTTCAGTTCTAGTTCAGTTCTAGTTCAGTTCTAGTTCAGTTCTAGTTCAGTTCTAGTTCAGTTCTAGTTCAGTTCTAGTTCAGTTCTAGTTCAGTTCTAGTTCAGTTCTAGTTCAGTTCTAGTTCAGTTCTAGTTCAGTTCTAGTTCAGTTCTAGTTCAGTTCTAGTTCAGTTCTAGTTCAGTTCTAGTTCAGTTTTAGTTCAGTTTTAGTTCAGTTCTAGTTCAGTTCTAGTTCAGTTCTAGTTCAGTTCTAGTTCAGTTCTAGTTCAGTTCTAGTTCAGTTCGAGTTCAGTTCTAGTTCAGTTCTAGTTCAGTTCTAGTTCAGTTCTAATTCAGTTCTAGTTCAGTTCTAGTTCAGTTTTAGTTCAGTTCTAGTTCAGTTCTAGTTCAGTTCTAGTTCAGTTCTAGTTCAGTTCTAGTTCAGTTCTAGTTCAGTTCTAGTTCAGTTCTAGTTCAGTTCTAGTTCAGTTCTAGTTCAGTTCTAGTTCAGTTCTAGTTCTAGTTCAGTTCTAGTTCAGTTCAGTTCTAGTTCAGTTCTAGTTCAGTTCTAGTTCAGTTCTAGTTCAGTTCTAGTTCAGTTCTAGTTCAGTTCTAGTTCAGTTCTAGTTCAGTTCTAGTTCAGTTCTAGTTCAGTTCTAGTTCAGTTCTAGTTCAGTTCTAGTTCAGTTCTAGTTCAGTTCTAGTTCAGTTCTAGTTCAGTTCTAGTTCAGTTCTAGTTCAGTTCTAGTTCAGTTCTAGTTCAGTTCTAGTTCAGTTTTAGTTTCAGTTCTAGTTCAGTTCTAGTTCAGTTCTAGTTCAGTTCTAGTTCAGTTCTAGTTCAGTTCTAGTTCAGTTCTAGTTCAGTTCTAGTTCAGTTCTAGTTCAGTTCTAGTTCAGTTCTAGTTCAGTTCTAGTTCAGTTTTAGCTCTAGTTACGAGACTTGAAATCATCGTCATTTTTACAAAATTAAATAAATTTCATTAAGTCATTATTCAATGAAGAGATTCCGTGAGTAGCAGATCATCACATGTTCCGACCTTCAAGGATAAATCAATTTCATACGTGTATTATTTCTTATTTCAGAACCGTTTATACCTGCGCTCTTAACAATTCGGGCGGCGTAGAAGCCGATGTTACCATATCACGATTAAACTCCGGCTCTGGAGCTCCTCATGATCCGAAATTTGAAGGTCAAGGCTATTATATTGTAGCAGGTGGCGCCTCAGCATACTACACATATACCATGATGGTGGATGAAATTCGCAAACAAGGTTTCAATTGTACGGTGCGTGATGTAACCGCTGACCTGGGTGTTATTTCCATACAAGGACCTAAGTCCAGAGATATTTTACAAAACATAGTGCAATGCGAACTCAGCGATGAGAATGTGGCGCCAAATGGCACAGTATTAACCCAATGTGCGGGATATGATGTACGTTTATTACGTGTTAGTTTTGTAGGAGAACTAGGCTATGAATTGCATGTACCCAAAGAGTATTGTTCCCAGGTCTATAGGGCTTTAATGAAGGCGGGCGAACCACAACAATTAAGAAATGCTGGATATCGTGCTTTATACTCGTTGAGTAGTGAAAAGGGTTATCATTTGTGGAGTTTTGATTTGAGACCCGATGATACCCCCTTGGAGGCGGGTTTGGGTTTTACCTGCCGTAAACAGGGTGTTTACAAGGGCAAAGAGGCCATTGATAAACAACGCAAAGAAGGCATTAAGAAACGTTTGGTATATTTAACTTTGGATGGACAAGTACCCATTTGGGGTTTGGAAGGTGTTTATAGAAATGGCCAACCTGTGGGTTTCTTACGTAGAGCAGAGTATGCCTATTATTTGGGCAAGCCTTTGGGACAAACTTATATACAAAGAACAGATGGTGAAAAAATCGATAATGAATATATTAAAACGGGTGAATATGAAATCGATGTTCTGGGAAAACGTTATAAAGCCAAATGTCATTTGAGAAGTCCTTTCGATCCCGAGGGCAAACGTGTATTAGGTAACTATTAACTTAAGTTTAAAAAAAAATAAGATAAAATAAAAGAAATAAAGTTGTATTTTATTTTTATTTTAAAATATATACATATAATACAAATATTTATTTCATATTTTTTAATGACCTGCAAAGTCTCTTAGAAAACAAACTGGGTGCATTTTGAATATTCTAGGAACTCAACTCAAACCACAACTAAAGTAGTATTAGTAGTAGTGTTTTAAAAGAGACAAAACAATAAAATCATAAAGAGGTAGACCAATGTGTTAAGTGTTTGACACTAAATATTAATTATCCTGCAGTGCAAGGCTCATCTCCGTTTGTGTTACTTTGAAAATGACCTTCACACTAAAAGACAAGGACAGCCATATTTAAAATACATAATAGTTATTAAATGATCTTAAAAAATACTTGAGAACATTTTAATTAATCACTAAACTCTAAGTACAACTTAAGGTTTTCTTAAGGGTTTTTTAGTTAAAATGTATAAAAATTCTTTACTAGCATTTTGAGGAAGAGGAGACACTATGTCTGGTGTGTTTGGGATTGTAATTGTTGTTTTTTTTTTGTTATAAAATATATGACTTAATTAATAATAATTGTTTTGTTGTGAAAATTATAAGTGTGTTTGTGTTATTTCTAAGAATTAGGGTTTCATATTGCAGCACCAGACAATAAGTCGCCTAGAATTATTACAAGTGCTTTTTTGGGCAGGAGTTTATTACATATTAACTAAAGGCGTATTTGTTTTGTCATTGCATCATACGTTGTTTCTTCGTATTCATACGTTTATCCTCTCACATTTATTTCGAACTTATGTGACCGAATACAATGTGGCCTCTGAGGCATTTGTGGAATGGGTATTTAGATATTCCTCTATAGTTTCCTCTAATGTTTTCTGAAACTTAAACATATCACGCATTTTATTATTTAAACGACAAACAACACCAGCTGATGATATATTCCAATTCCAGCAGATCATATCACAGTTTAATACTTTTAAATCATCTCGTAATGAAACGATATTCTGTAATGAAAGTATTATCGTTTTATTATTAAAATTTGGGAGACATATTTTTGTAAACTACTTACCGCCGCTACTGTATAATCAATGCTGTTAATTTCCTGGCCATTGACTACAATCAAACGTATACCATCTTTTTGATGGAAATTAACAAATTCGACCACATTTTCCTTCAGATATTCGGCTGAGGCAAAGTCCAGCTTTTGCTTAACATCAACCATACCAAATTCATAGTCCAATAACTGGAAAAATATAGAATAGTTCTAGTTCAATATACAAATAATTTAAAAATAAGTAAATTTAGTCGGTTTTCTCCGCCCTTACAATGCACTAAAAGCCTTCTCGGAAGAATAACCGACTTTAACTAATGCTCACAACATAAATAACTAGTTTTGGGTCTATTCAGTTAGCTGAATTAGTATCTTTTTAACAGTTAAGTTAGAATTTTACGTTAACTACTTTTATATATATATTATTTGATATATTCAGCTAGCTGAATTAGTATTTTTTAAGCAGTTTATATAGAATTTTACGTTAACATTGTTAGCTCTATTCTACTAAACTTTAACTTTATTCAGCTTGCTGAATTGTCATTTTTAAATCTTAAATAGTTTTTGGTAATTTCAGCCAACTGAATTAGTTTTTTACAGCTTAGTTTTTTTCGGCGTTTTTATTTTATTCAGTTTGCTGAACAATTGTTTCCTAAAATAATAATTATAATCACGACATTAACCATATTCAGCTTGCTGAATAAATTTTTTAAAACAATATTTTAAATTTTTATATATGATTTATATCTTTTTGATGATATTCAGCAAGCTGAATATAACTTTTAAAAATCATGTATGATTAATTTTACTTTTTCAAACTCATTAAAATTATTTTTGTTATATTCAGCTAACAATTTTTGTTGAAAATTTTAAAAATTCTTACATCTACCAACTTATAGACAAGTTTTTATGGATATTTAGCTTGCTGAATTATATCCTTGAAAATAATTTCTTAAGAATTTGCTTTTACTAACTCGTTCTTAGCTTTCTAAACATATTAAGCTAGCTGAATAAGATTTTTTGAATAAAATGTTGTGAATTCTTAGATTAAACAGGATTTTCTTGGTTTTCAGCCAGCTGAATTAACTTTTAAGAATAAGTTTACTTATAATATGCAATCGAAATTTTCAAAAATTTTCGAATAATTTCTCTTTTTATAGAAAATTTTTGAAAATTTCTCTTTTTATAGAAAATTTTTGAAAATTTCTCTTTTTATAGAAAATTTTTGAAAATTTCTCTTTTTATAGAAAATTTTTGAAAATTTCTCTTTTTATAGAAAATTTTTGAAAATTTCTCTTTTTATAGAAAATTTTTGAAAATTTCTTTTTTATAGAAAATTTTTGAAAATTTCTTTTTTTTATAGAAAATTTCTCATTTTTTAGAAAATTTTTTAAAATTTTATAGAAAATTTTTGAAAATTTCTTTTTTTATAGAAAATTTTTGAAAATTTCTTTTTGTTATAGAAAATTTCTCATTTTTTAGAAAATTTTTTAAAATTTCTCTTTTTATAGAAAATTTTCGAAAATTTCTCATTTTATAGAAAATTTTTTAAAAATTCTCTTTTTATAGAAAATTTTGGAAAATTTCTCTTTTTATAGAAAATTTATGAAAATTTCTTTTTTTATAGAAAATTTTTGAAAATTTCTTTTTTTTATAGAAAATTTTTGAAAATTTCTTTTTTTTTTATAGACAATTTTTGAAAATATCTTTTTTTTATAGAACATTTTTGAAAATTTCTCTTTTTATAGAAAATTTTCAAAAATTTCTCTTATTATAGAAAATTTTTGAAAATTTCTCTTATTATAGAAAATTTTTGAAAATTTCTCTTATTATAGAAAATTTTTGAAAATTTCTCTTATTATAGAAAATTTCTTTTTTTATAGAAAATTTTTGAAAATTTCTTTTTTTATAGAAAATTTTTGAAAATTTCTCATTTTTTAAAAATTTTTTGAAAATTTCTCATTTTTTAGAAATTTTTTGAAAATTTCTCTTTTTATAGAAAATTTTTGAAAATGTCTCTTTTTATAGAAAATTTTCGAATTTTCTTTCTACAGAACATTTTCGAAAATTTTTTCTCTTTTATAGAACATTTTCGAACAAGTTATCTTTTTTTATACGAATTTATGAAAAAGTTCTCTTTATAGAAACTTTTCTTCGAAAATTTCTTTTGTTATAGAAACTTTTCGAAAAATGTCTCTTTTACCTTATAGGTATATAACCATATCTGGGGTCTAGCACTACTATATAGAATATAAGAAAGATTGGCAGCAATACCACATAAGATACCATATTCCAAACTCCAAAATAGGCAAACAAATAGAGTAACCAAAAATGGTACGAAATCCTTCTCTGAAATGCAAAAATAGAAAGTATTAGACATTAAACAATTTCATAAGTATGATTATCCATATTACTCTTTGATCTCCAAGTATCACGTATTTTCTCCACTTCCACCAGGGATATCATAGCAGCGATGATAATGGCCGACAGAGTAGCTTTAGGTATATAATAGAAGGTTTTTGTTAAAAAGGCTAAAGCCATTAATACCAAACCTCCAGTTACCAAACCACCCAAAGTTGTCTTTACACCACTGGCATTATTAACTGCAGTTCGGGTAAATGAGCCTGTGACAGGCATCGAAGAAACAAAACTACCCATTATATTACACATACCCAAAGCAATCATTTCCTGTGAGGCATCCACAATTCGGCCCTTAGCTGGAAATAACAATTTTCAATCATTACTTTGTGTTAAGAAATTTCCATTATTTAAATACTTACAAAATGCTTTAGCTATAGCTACCACTTCCAAAATAGACACCAACGGTATGGAAGCAAAAGAAGCACCCACTGTATTCATCATTTCCTTTAAGGTTACTTCGGTTCCATTGATAATAGCACCAGATAATGGTACCTTAAATGGCGGCAAACCGGCTGTAACATTACCGGTTACTCTAAAAGGTTGTGAACCATCACGACTTAAGATATAAGCCAAGAAAGTACCAATTATAACAGCCATTGAATTGCGAGACAAAGAAACATATTTCCAAAAGGTACGATTACCAAAGGGTATATCTTTGACTTTCTAAAATTTTTAAAATTCTTAAAATAAATCTATAAAATCTTTATTAGTTTCAAAACATACCTTCATAACCAACAGGAAGGCTAAGGTAACTAAACCCAATGTAGCATCATTCCAGCCTATGTCATTCAGATGAGTAAAGAAATGTTTCCACGCTGGTATCAAATCATTTGAAGGAGCTTTTATGCCGAAAATGTTATTAATTTGTGCGCTATACCTATTGTTATGGCGGCCGCAGTGGTAAAACCTTTGAAAAGTTTGGTTATGGGAGAGGATTTAAACAGATTAGTTAGTTTCTTTACTTTGCTTTAATAATGTCTTTACCTATAATAACGGGTATTGATATAAAATCTTACTAGCACTCCCAGATTTAAAAGACCCAATGCTAGTACATGCAACCAGCGAAGAAGGCAATCCATAGCAGCATATTCTGGACTTATGGAAGCGTAGGGATGGACCATTAAAGCCATAATTGCAGTGGTGGCTAAGAAATGAAAGTTTTCAATTAAAACTATTCGAAGTAGATAGATAGATAGATGAGATAGATAGATAGATAGATGAAAGATAGATAATAATAGATAGAGATCCGATAGCTAGATAGATAATCGATAGGCTAGCTATCGCTAGATAGATCGATCGCTCTCTCGATAGATAGCTCGCTAGATCGCTAGATAGATAGATGCTCGCTGATCGCTCGCTCGCTAGCTCGCTCGCTCGCTCGCTCGCTCTCGCTCGCTAGCTCGCTCTCGCTCGCTCGCTCGCTCGTCGCTCGCTCGCTCGCTCGCTCTCGCTCGCTCGCTCGCTCGCGCTCGCTCGCTCGCTCGCTCGCTCGCTCGCTCTCTCGCTCGCTCGTCGCTCGCTCGCTCTCCC